GTTCTGCAGATCCACCATCGCCACCATCACCTCCATTCTTTCACCTCGGATCTTCACCATCCCCTTGTTGAGCATCTCATCATCATCACAGCCTCCACCTTCATCACCGGTAATCACCAAAGCAGAAGGGTTCGACAGCTACCAGAAATGGGGAGAAGATGAAGCAGATCTAGCCGGTAATCACGGAAGCAAAGCATTCACTGAATCTCCAACCCACCGACGACAGGTTGAGGAAGACGTTCGCGGCATGCGGCGTGTGGCGTTCGTCGTTCTTGATGAAGAAAGAGAACAGAAATAGATCTGCAATCAGAAATCCATTGTTTTTTTTTTTTTTAGTTTGAACTTAGGTGTACCTGTCATATTTCGGTGTGCCGGCCGGTACACAAAATTCCGGCCGGTACATCGGATTTTGACTGGAACGACCGGATTTTGACCGAAACGAAATTTGATGTTGTAACATTTCGGTCAAGTGTCAAAATCGGTACGTACCAGCCATACCGACCGGTACGGTACGAGATTGACATCTTTGGGTCGGAGCCCAGCTGATAAAGAAAACAAGCGCCTGGCAATATAAGAAAATTCATATTTAATGATTAAATTATTTATTATTAAATTTTTATTTTTTGTCACAAATTATTATTAGTGATAAAATTTAAAGCGTTAGTAAAACTTTTATCATTAATGTTTTTAGTGACAAATTAGGCACCTATCATATAAAATAATCTTATAATGATAGAAAAAATTAACATTGTTAATAAGTTATTTATAATAATTTTATTCGTCAAAAAAAAATTCTTTTGTTACAATAATTTTCATCATAAATGTTATAATTGAGTGAAAAAAATAGTCACAAATACAATTATGATGAAAAATTTAGTCATTAAGTATTAAAATTGATATTAAATAAAAAAGATATTTATATAATTATAACACAAATATTGTAACAAAAATTTTGTTACAAAAAAATAATATATAAATTTAGGATATAGATGGGTACACCCACCGGTTCAACACCGGTGGGTGCACATTCTATAAAATAAAATTTTTTCTTTATAAACCAAGATTAAAATTACAAATTTAACCTTCCTCCTCTTTTTCTTCCATCATCCTCTAATCACCATTTTTACCCATCATATCCAATCTTCAGTATCCTCCACCTTCATCACCGATCATTCTTCTTCATCATCAATCACCCATCTCTAATCTTCATCACCTTCATCACCGATCATTCTTCTTCTTTCCCTCACCTCTTTCTTTCTTCTTCTTTTTTTTTTCTCTCTCTCGGTGGAGAACCCGAGCTAGGTTCTCTGGTGAGAACCCGAGCTGGGTTCTTGAGAACCCAGATCTGGGTTGTCACCAGAGAACCCAGCTCGGTGGGAACCCGACCTGGGTTCTTGGGAACCCGACCTGGGTTCTTGGGAACCCGACCTGGGTTCTCTGGTGAGAACCTGAGCTAGGTTCTTGAGAACCAAGATCTGGGTTCTCAGAGAACCCAGCTTGGGTTCTCACGATGGGAACTCGACCTGGGTTCTCACCAGAGAAATTTTGATTTTTTATTTTTTGATGGATGGATTTGGTGAAATGCTTGAGTTTTCCTGGGATTTGGTTGTTGAATGTGCTTGAATGCTTGAATTTTGCTGGGATTTGGTTGTTGAATGTGCTTGAATGCTGGAGTTTTGTTGGGATTTGTTCCGTGGGAAATAGATTTAGTGAGAAGGGTAAATTTGTAATTTTACTGTTTAAACCAATTTGGGTGTAAAAATGGGTGCCGGTTCCTGGGTGTACGTATCACTGTCCATAAATTTATCGTAAAAGTTTAATAAAAAATATTATTGTTTCAATATTAATCAATTTTGATTAAAATTAATCAAACTCGATTAAAATTAATCAGGCCCAAACTAATCTCAAGTTTTATTAAGTTTCACATGTTTTATAGTGCAAAAATTTATTTTCTTAAATATTTCTCATTTACGTGGGATATATTTATAGTGCAAAATTTTATTCTCTTATGTGTTTTTTATTGAAGTGAGATGCATTGATTAAAGAAAATTGATAATTTTTAGTAACGAAATATATTTTTAGTGATGAATTTTTTTGTTATTATTAAATGTGTAAAATATACGTGATCAATATTAGAATTCTATCATAATTGTAATATATTATAGTAATGATTTTTATCGACAAAAATTTATTTTATTTCTATGAATATTTTTTCGTGATAAAATATTTTTTTATGATAAATTTTTTTTATTATTAAATATGTATGTATCTGTGACTAATTTTTTAAATTTGTTATAATTGTGATAACTTATAGTGATGATTTCAAAATTTATTACAAATTTCTATCACTAAAAATTATTTTCTTATAGTGTGAGGAGGTAAGCTTTATTTTTTTTTGTGGGGGGATTTTTGTCTGAGGTAGGGAGTAGTAGCATTTTCGTGTGATTTTTGTTTGAGCTGTGCTGTTTTGCGTGGAGTAAAGGTTGTTGAGGAACAGAGTTTTAGCGCAGCAAGCAAGGGAGAGGAAAAAGGCTTACATGAATGAGCTGGAGACCAGAGTTAAAGACTTGGAGAAGAAGAACTCTAAGCTTGAAGAGAGGCTTGCCACTTATCAAAACGACAATCAGATGCTTAGACAAGTAATTTGTCTCTGGGAGGGTCAACCTATTGATGCTGGCCAGAAGAAATGGATGGTTAGAGCTAGGCGCAATGAACCCAACGCTTGAGCTCGTGACGAACCGAGCGTAAAGGCTTCAAAGGATAAAACAGAAGGAGAAAGAAGATGGAGGTAAATAAATAATTACAAAATAATTTTTAAAATATTTGCAATGATAATAATGTAATTAAATAATTTTTAAAATTATATTAGAGAAAAAAATTTAATCATGTCATCAATTTTTACTAAATGTATTTTTTTAATGTAATTTAAGTAAAAAAAAAATTTTGGTTAATTAACATGTTACTTCAATTAAAATTTAACGAAAAAATTTAAAAAATCAAATTTTAAATTCTAAGAATCAAAAGAAATTTTTTTAATATAAAGACTAAAAAACCTTTTTTTATTTTTTTTATAGTAGAGGGACTGAAAAAGAGTATTTAACCAAAAGAAAAAGAAAAGAATCGGCGTCGAAGTCTTCAGTTTGGTGAAGATGATGCACGACCATTAATTAATTAAAAAACTGAAATTGGACGGTAAATCAGGAACCACCCGTTATCGCAATCGGAAATCACAGCCTTTGAACGGGCGGTCGTCAATCAGGACTAGAAAATTTAAGACTAGAAAATTTAGATAAAAATTTAATAAAGTAAATGAATGCAAATCGAAGGGCTTTTTCTCTCTACTGTAGTTTTTGTTTTTTGTTTTTTTTTTTATTCTAAAATAATTATTAGTTTTTTTAATTTTTCTTTAAAATAAGAATTTTAAGGTAATTTGCTTGTCTATCTACTCTTTTGGTTTATTTTTAATGAACTTATTTTG